TTGAGCTCAGTTGATACAATGCCACTGTTTATTTTATGCAAAGCTGGTTAGAACTAACACACTCTAGCCTAATGTATGTCTAGCCTAAGGTATGTATTAACTCCGGGGTACGAACTCGAAATATAAGTCGCCCTCGATCTTTGAAAGAAGCTAAACCCCCAATACAGTCAAATCCAGTTAATATACTTTTAATTGCATGTTCCTGGTGTGAAATGTAACATTCAACCATCCAAAATTTTAATTTAACCAGCTTGTGTTACTTATTGTCAGAAATTTGTCGTTTACTTAGACTTCTTAGAGCTAGCACGATATTCTATTTTTGCCATATTAAATATTTTTTCTTCTGAAGCTAAGCGTGGAATACAATGTTCTGTAAGAAAGAAGTGTTAAATAAATTTCTTTTATAGCATTTTTGTGTTCTACCAGGCTGACTCTTGTTGCTGAATAAATTTAACTCAGCAGCGAACTGAAACCAATTTCAGTTAATTACAGTTTTCTGCTGTACGGCCCTATCAAACTCGTCGGAAAATTTGGCAAAAAAATACGTTTTTTAAACGTATGTATCTCTACTGCATAAAGAGAATGGAGATAATTGTTTTATATCCAGGTATCACAAGGTGACNATGAATGAATGAATGAATACCTTTATTAAAGTGTCAAACTAAAATAGCAGTAAATAACCACTAAATGGGGACACAGAACGTCTTACGCTAAACTGCATATTATTTTTTTCTAAACAAAGTTCAAAGTTTATCATTTGTTAATTTCGTAGAATGTGATCATTCTAAAACTACGATATGATTCATACTACAGTAATAATAACGGCTGGAGATTTGAAGCGAAGCTTAAAATCATCATTCTCGATCATTCGAATCACCGTGTTGGAACTATGGGCATGTAACCTTAGAGATCTGTACATCCTCGTTTAGAATTGCCTTTTTTCTTTTGCTTTTAGGTAACATCCACTACGTCTTTGGCGAACAAATAAACATTGCCAGTTGGACGCTGGTGCTATTCAAAATGAAGCGAGTGTTTTCAAGAGGCACAGTTCTTTTCCTTTGGTTGGGGTTTGCGTTGTATTTCTTCGTGTTTCAAATCAGCATTTTTCGAGTTACCTCCCATGTTGAAAAGACAAGCACTATTCTGAGGTTGAGCAGCGGA